GGGAATTTTTGGGGATTTTTTTTGATTTTTTAAAATATTTTTTTATTTTTTGGGGGGAATTCTTGGGGAATTTTTTTGAATTTTTTTTTTTATTTTTCTGGGATTTTTTGGTCCAACCGTGGGGGTTTGGGGATCCCCAAAGGGAATTTTTGGGGAATATTTTGGGATTTTCATCTTTTTCTCAAATTCCCGTTTTTTTCACCCCAAAGGGAATTATTTTGGGAATTATTTTGGGAATTATTTTGGGGTTCCCATCCTTTCCCAAATTCCCATTTTTTCCCCCCAAAGGGAATTTTTGGGGCTATTTTGGGAATTATTTTGGGGATATTTTGGGATTTTTTGAGGATATTTTGGGGATGATTTTGGGGATTATTTTGGGGATATTTTGGGGATTTTTGGGGAATATTTTGGGGATGATTTGGGGAATATTTTAGGGATATTTTGGGAATTATTTGGGGGATGTTTTGTGGATCATTTTGGGATATTTTTGGAATTATTTTAGGATATTTTGTGGATGATTTTGGGGCTGTTTTGGGTTTTTTTGGGAATTATTTTGGGATATTTTGGGGCTATTTTGGGGATTTTTGGGGCTGTTTTTGGGGCTGTTTTGGGGATTTTTGGGGATGTTTTTGGGGCTATTTTGGGGATATTTTGGGAATATTTGGGGGATATTTTGTGGATGATTTTGGGGCTGGTTTAGTTTTTTTTGTGGATGTTTTGGGGATTTTTTGGGAATTATTTTAGGGTATTTTGGGGCTGGTTTTGGGGATTATTGGGGATGATTTTGTGGATATTTTGGGATTGTTTTTGGGGCCGTTTTGGGGATTTTTGGGGCTGTTTTTAGGGCTGTTTTGGGGATTTTTGGGGATTATTTTAGGATATTTTTTGGATATTTTGGGGCTGTTTTTGGGATGTTTTTGGGGCCGTTTTGGGGGTTTTTGGGGTTCCCATTCTGTCCCCATTGCCCTGTGCTGTCCCCAGGGGAGGAGCCGTTCTCCTTCGGCTACGGCGGCACCGGCCGCAAATCCACGGACGCCAAATTCCAGAGCTACGGAGAAAGCTTCGGAGAGAGTGACGTCATCGGCTGCCTGGCGGTGAGGGACACCTGGGACACACCTGGGGGCACACCTGGGGGCACCTGGGGACACACCTGGGGGCACCTTGATACACCTGGGGGCACCTGGGCACACCTGGGGACACACCTGGGGATACAGCCAGAGCAATGTCATCGGCTGCCTGGCGGTGAGGGACACCTGGGGACAGCTGGGCACACCTGGGGACAGCTGGGCACACACCTGGGCACACCTGGGATACACCTTGATACACCTGGGCACACCTGGGGGCACCTGGGATACACCTGGGGGCACCTGGGATACACCTGGACACACCTGGGGACACACCCAGAGTGATGTCATCAGCTGCCTGGCCGTGAGGGACACCTGGGGGCACGCGTGGGGACACCTGGGACATACCTGGGAACACACCTGGGCACACCTGAGATACACCTGGGGACACACCTGGGGGCACCTGGGGATACACCTGGACACACCTGGGGATACACCTGGGCACACCTGGGGATACACCTGGGCACACCTGGGGATACACCTGGACACACCTGGGGACACACCTGGGGGCACCTGGGGATACACCTGGACACACCTGGGGACACACCTGGGGACACACCTGGGG